AGAGTGATAGGAAGCTTGATTGATAGAGGAGAGAGGCAACATGCGTCGGATGGGTACGAGTGGCATGGAGAATTTGTGCGGCAGGATATGGAAGAGAATGGTGAAGAAATGCAATTTATCTTTTTAATTTAATTTATACTTTTTAATAATAAGAAATATTATTATTATAAAATTTGCATTGATTTCTTTCTTCTTATTATTATTGTTATTATTATTATTTTTCATATTCTTGTCGCTTGCATACATTGAACTTGCGTCGTCATTTCGCACGTGCACAATTTTTTTTATTTTCGTTGTGCGAAGATCCTGGGAAACAAGGGTGTCAATCATAGCGATTTTTGTTGTCCCATACGCACTGGCAAAATTTGTTTGCGAACATACACCATTTAGGTGATTTCATCTTTTGGTTGATGAGTTGCAGACAATATTTGTGCGACATTCTGTCCTTTGCATGTCATTTCTATTGTGCTTGGTCAGGTCAACTTGGAGCAATTATCACAATCAACAATTGTTTGCCAATGTTTTCTAAGCTTATCTTTCTATAAATTATTGCTAGGGTTTTGTGATGGTTGATTGATTATGCATCTTTATGTTTGCCATTTAAATTAGGATTGCTCTATGTGACTGATGATCCAAATTACTTTGAGACTTCTTTGAAGCTTTGTGTGTTGGGTTATAACATCTTTTTGCCAGATGTCAATGTTTTTTTCCTTAACTTCTCTTTGTAATATTTTCAGTTCAATCTACCTCATTGTATTTTCCACCAAGCAACTAATTTGGCTAGGGATTGCCCCTTGTGGGTAAAGGATTGCCCCTCTGAGGAGGACATCAGTCAGATATTTTGACACATGTACCATCGGAGGAATCGTAGATCGACGGCTACAATTCGGAGTCTATATCTTTGATTTATTTTCATGTATTTTTCTATTTCAGTTTACTAGTTTACCCATATGGATGTTGAGTCATTATTGTAGCCCATGGGGCATATGAGTCACTTTGTTTTCTTTTCTTGAGACCTATATATAGAGGTCATTGTCTTTGTATGAGGTTAATGTTGAATCAATAGAAAATTTCAGATTTTTGAGTTCATGATTTTGTGAGCTTGAGAGGAGAGGAGTAGCCTAGGAGAGGCTCAAAAGAAATACCCAACAGCACCCTTCGTGAGAGCTCTTGGTTCTTTGGTTTTTTCTTTCTTTTCTTCCCTTTTATCCTAGCCTCCGGCACCCCAAATCCACCTCCTTACCCCCAGCCAGCAAACCCACGCCTCCCCTTTCCCTTAGCTGCCTGATCCCCCCCCCCGGTCCGGCCCAAATCCCCCAAACCCCCTTTCACCGGAGCCAACACCCAAGAAGCCCGCCCCCCTTTGCCCCCCCACCCGCTGGCCAACCCAAGGCTAAGCCTTGGAATTTGATTTTCAAATTCAAGTAGGCTTTCATTGCTTTCCTAATTTGTCCCCTTGTCATTTAGGAAGTTTCCTAATTGAAATTGAAATTTGAATTTCAAATCCCTCCCTAAATGATAAAACCCAATTAGGAAACTATTCAAATCTAATCAAATTTGAATTTAATTCAGAATTTGATTTAATTAATTATTCAATCACCTGGGCCCCACTTACATTGAACATAGACACAAATTTAAATCCCCATAGTGCTGGCCCCCTCTCTCTCTCTCTACTTTGCCACCTAAGCAACATTTTTAATCACTCCCTAAATTCCCTAATAACCACCGGCCCCATTAATCCCTTAATTGGGTTGATTTGAATTTCAAATTGACTCTCCCTCTCTAATGAAAATATGAAATTTAGACTTCCGATTTTCCCCTCACCTTCTCCCCCCAAACCACTTGGCTTTAATCCAAAAGAAACCCTAACACTAGTCGCCCTCACCCTCCCCAAGTCATCTCCCATCATCCTCTCCCTTCCTCCTCACAAATGTCAAGCTTGTTCTTCTTCAACCGCCAACATCGCTATGCATGGCTGATCCCGAAGCCGACCATGGTTTCTTATATGATGATCAAGGATGAACAAACATTCTCGAATCTCATTTCTTCGATGTGAACCTAGACGTGGATGCTTCCGTGGAAGATTATTTAAATCGCATCGTTTTCACGTTGGTACCATCCATCAAAGAGCACATTCCTACCGGACGTTGGATACTCACTGGTCGACTCGTGGATTCCCCTTCCCCGGCCACCTTTCCAACGAATTACACCTTGGGCGTCATTTGTCTTCTGGTGGCATCGCTAGCTTGTTCTCTATCTTCCTCCACTAAAGTACGTCCACCATGAGTGTGAGTGAGGGACCCAAGGTGAGCAAATCTATTTTTTAAACCGTCGATTAGTGTTTCTTTGTCGTAACATTACTTTCTCTATTTTATGTTGTTAACTTGTAAGCATCCTGTTAATCTAGTTGTAACCGCATGCCTTACAAAATTTCTACTTGATAATTCTAACGCCTAATTTGAGAGAACAAGAAGTTTATAACTAGTTAAGCTTTAGTAATCAAATATTAATATCCGCAAGAAGTTCTTCTTTACTTGCATGGTTTCACATCACCCTCATTTGGGATTATATGCTGACTGGCATTAAACTTGGGATCTCATTAGAATCTTGGGGGCATTGTGGTATTTGAAACTTTTGGGGATGCCAGCTACTAAGTACTATTCTTCTTCTGTTATATATTCCTGATTTAAGTGATCAGAGATTTCATTTTATCCTTGAGGTTCTACTTTGAACCGAAAGCTCATCCTACTATTGCTGGTTGTTCTAAACTCTAAAGTAAAGACTGGCTTGGAATTGCAGATACTTAGATTCAGACAGTGTTACTCAAATAGATCCATCTTTTTAATTTTGTGCTTACATTTATTAGAGATTGTCTGCTGAATACACCAGTCGGAAAGCAGGGCTATCAAATAATCCTGGTTTGAAAGGAGGAAGTGAAAATGATATATTTCTGATGACGTTATCATCAGGTATAGATGGAGTTCATGAAAAATTACTTAAGGCAAGTCGTTTTATGCTTTTACTAGTTATTCATATCAGCATAAACTTAAGCTTTTCATCTGTTTAGTAACAGCTTCTCCAATAGCAGAACGCTGAAATATGGGCTAAGCCAAACAACGAGAATTTCACACAATGCATTGAACCAGCAAACTATAAGAGTAATTTGATCTACCCTGGTTTCTGACCTTTTACATGTTTTATGGTCTTATAGGTTTTTTTGTTCGTGTTCAATACTGTTGTAAAATAATTTTGGGATTTTTACATACATAACATTTAAAACTATCAAAAATATATATTTAACACCAAAACATCTATATTTATTAATATACCACATAAAATCTCCCTTTCCTTCTATTCTACCACTCCATTGAAGCGATGAGATACTTGTATTCATTGTGAAAGGATGCCATTGACGATGAAGACAGTTGTTGATAGTGATTTTTGACGGAAGGTTTAAACGGAATGTTAGAATTGATTAAAAGAGAGATTTTAGGTGTTATATTAGTAAATATAGAAGTGTAGATGTTAAATATATATTTTCAATAGTTTTAGGTGTTATGTATGTTAAAATCCCAATAATTTTAATTCCAAAATTTCAGGGATTTCTTTTCCCGGTTTTGCAGATGTTGATGCCAAGACAAATGGATATATTCTAGTTAATGCGAATGGAGGATTGAATCAGATGAGATTTGGGGTCTGAATGTTTTTTATTGATTCAATTTGGCTGCTATTGAAATACCTTTATACAATGCCATCATTTGTCTTGTTTCTAGAATGCAGATCTGTGATATGGTCGCCATTGTTAAGATTATGAAAGCAACTCTTGTGCTCCCTTCGCTTGACCATTCAAACTTTTGGGCAGATGATAGGTTCCATCTCACTTTCCTTCATTTATTTTACCATCTCAGATTAGTACTTTTGATTTCTTATGCAGAATAACAGAGGCATTTTAGTTTATATTCTCAGTAACTTTAAGGATCTCTTTGATTGGAAACATTTTATCAAGATCTTGAAGGATGATGTTCATATAGTTGAAGCATTGCCAGCTTCCTTTGCAGAGACTGAACCTTTTAACATAACTCCTATATCTTGGTCTAAGGTTAAAGTCAAAGACAGAAGTGCAATCTACTCTGTATTTTTCCTATTTTCATCATAATATTGATAATTTAACGTCTTTAATACAGGTCAAATATTACAAAGAAGAGGTCCTCCCTCTACTGAAAAAATACAAAGTTCTGTATTTAACTCACACAGACTCCCGGCTTGCAAATAACGGTCTTCCGGCCTTTATTCAGAAATTGAGATGTCGGGCGAATTACAGAGCTCTGAAATATTCTGCTCCAATTGAGGAACATGGTGCAACCCTTGTTTCAAGAATAAGGTTACATGGACATCCATATGTTGCCCTTCATCTAAGGTAATCTGATTTAGGCATATAATTTCAGTTTTCTAGTAATTCCTTTTGTAAGTGAAATATTTTGTGAAAATTCATTTATAAATTTTTTTCTTATGATATTTCTATTTTTTTGTTTGCATTATTTTTTTTTTTTGGGTTATATGTGCAATTTAGGGATATCCTATCTTTTGTTAACAATCAACGTAGAGCAACTAGCTCTTTGTAGGTTTTTTAAACTCTAAGGCCTCATTTGGGACAGCTTTCTTACTGCTTCTTGAAGCAGTTTTTTAGTACAAAAATTTTAATTTTTGTAGTAAAAAATTGTTTCAAAAAGCAATAAAAAAGCCATCCCAAACGAATTCTAAATGTTATTGAGAAATAAGAAATCTGTATGTTTTATCTTCCTTATTTCTTTGGGATTCCAACTGCTGTGAGAAGTAATCATATATATTTCCTCATAGCCCACTTAGGCTTCATTTGGGGCGGCTTTTTTATTGCTTCTTAAAGTTGCTTTTTAGTAAAAAAATTAAAATTATGTACTAAAAAACTGCTTTAAGAAACAATAAAAAAGCCGTCCCAAATGAAGCCTTAATTATCACATGATCTGCAGTGTGTTCTTCTGAGGTGATACCCTGCTTCAAACTATTTTGCTGTCTTCTGTACTGTACATTTTCTCTACCTTTGTTATTCTCTCTCCTTTGTTTAAAAATTTTGGGATGCATTTTTTTTTTCTTCTTTTACAGATATGAAAAGGACATGCTGGCTTTTACAGGTTGTAGCCATAATTTGACATCCAGGGAAGAGGAGGAACTCCTTGACATGCGCTATGAGGTTAGCCATTGGAAGGAGAAGGAAATTGATGGTTCGGAGAGACGAAAACAGGGAGGTTGCCCTTTAACTCCCAGAGAAACTTCTCTTCTTCTCAAAGGATTGGGATTTCCATCTAGCACGCACATATACTTGGTGGCTGGTGAAGCTTTTGGAAATTATAGTATGAAGTATCTGACTGATGATTTCCCAAACATCTACTCCCATTCAACCCTTTCTACAGAAGAGGAGCTTAGGCCTTTCATAAATCATCAGAACATGCTTGCTGGTTTGGATTATGTTGTTGCTCTCCAGAGTGATGTCTTTATTTACACTTATGATGGAAATATGGCAAAGGCTGTTCAAGGGCATAGACGCTTTGAGAACTTCAAAAAGACAATCAATCCGGATAGGTATGTCCCTCATAGGAAATACTTGAGTTTGCAAGTAATCCAAAGAGGAAATACTTGAGTTCGCAAGCAATCCTAGCAATAATTGATAAAAACAGAGGAAATAATGCGATATTCTCAATGAATCAATTCAAAACGAAAGATTGTAGTAGTGGATTCAAAGCAAAATTAAACAAAAAGCAAGATACAATTGATTCTCAATTTGAGAGGAAGATCGTTCTCTCCCAATCTCTAGATGAGAAGTCTAGAGCCCAAGACGCCAAGGAAACTTCAAGAGAAACAAATCAAAGCATAACCCTAACCCTAAAACACCTCATGCTATTTAATACATAAACTTTCTAAATCCAAACTCTCTCCAAAACCCTAGCCGCCCCCTCCTTTCTCCTTTTGGATTAAATTTGAATAGTGGGACCCACTATTGTGGGTGGTAAAGAGTGAAGGAGGTGGTACTAACCCGCCTCTTGTAGGAGCCGTTATTACGTCCTCCGACCGGATGCAGAGGAACATCTGGTCCTAGGCAAAAAAACGCATGTACCGAGGTGTGAAAAAACTCGTTACACCTCGGTACAAGCGTTTTTTTGCCTAGGACCGGATGTTTCTTGCATCCGGTCAACCGAACCAAATAAAAGCGCCTTCTGTAGACCCAAACCGGCCCTGGGAGGAACCGGCCTAACAGTCCCCCCAACTTTGTGTGTGTTATGCATTCGATATGCTAAGGCCATTGGAAACTAACTAGTTATATGCTTCTTTTGCTTCCAATGCTGAACTTTTGGAAAATTCTTTCAAATGAGACCTAATTAATAGAAATTTTGACATTTCAGAGGTCCAAATAGCCTTGGAATACTTGTACAGTTAATATTCTATTAAATTTCTGCAACAAGTCTGCTTAATTTTTTTTTGAAGCAACCAAGTAAAAATATTGTCTAAGCAGAACTGAAAAACCTTTTCATTCTTGGAGCCTAGAAGCAGAACTGACTTTACATGATTCTCATAGTTCAACATCATTTCTGCTGATGATTTATTTTGACCTGCAGGTTAAATTTTGTGAAACTGGTTGATGATTTTGACCAAGGGAAGATCTCATTGAAGCAATTCAAATCAAAAGTGAAGAAACTTCACAGAGAACGAATTGGTGCTCCATATTACAGAGAATCTGGTGAATTTCCCAAGCTTGAAGAATCTTTTTATGCAAATCCATTTCCAGGATGTATTTGTGGAAAGCCACGTATAATAAGATAGAAGAGCCACTGGTTCTTACATTTTTACCATTCGTAGTTGGAAATACAGCGCACACAGTATATTTGAAAAGATACAAAGCACAGATAGAAGAAATCAGGGAGCCTTTGCAATATTGAAACTAAAAATGGTTAACTGGTGATGAGATGGAGTAACAGAAGGCGAAGAAAATGCAGTATTGATTCTTTACAGAGCCAGAGCTGTTAGTGAGGTTAATTTCTTGCGTTTTGCAGTCATTGATGATTTTGTTTTTCTAAGTGTAGATAGCTCGAGCTTCCTCCTCTTCTTTGTGAAGCAAACATCAAAGAATGTGTAGATTATTATGGTTTTTTATTTGGCAGTTTTGCTCTTGCAAATTGCAAGTGGGCTGTGCCCTTTTATGGTAAGATTTCCATTCTTAAGAAAGTCGAGATTCTTCAAATTTTATATGCATATAGTCAAAATAAGCACATTGAATGAGTGAATCTAACAAGTCAAACTCCACTAAATTATAACTTTATTAAAATATTGAGATACTACTAAATTATGATTGTTATCATAAATGCTCGTCGATCAGTATCAATGTTCGTCGTCGTCATCATCATCATTAGCAAATGTATGCGTTTAACCAATGCCGACAACTACACTGCTACGACTGCTAGATGCCAGTCATCAATAAATGTGTGCTCTGTATCAACATTACCAGCGTTCTTCATTGATCATCACTCGACCCCTAATAAAGAGTGATGTTTGATGACATAGACATTATCAATCTTATAGATTCTTCTACTACAAACAAAACATGCAAATTAGTTACCTAACATCACCCGACCTCGAATATTTCTTTTTTATTGTTATTCCATGCAAACCAAAGAGTGATGTTCAATGTCTTACACAAGTATTCACATTCGTATGGTATCATCTCTATGGTTACAAAAGAGTAGAGTTTGTCATTCTTTAGCCATCGTTGTTCGACAAAAACCTTTTGGTTTGTTAGTAGTGAAAACTTTGCTCGCATAGGATGGCTAGAAAACAACTTTATTAATATTCAAGTTTCATTTGAGATGGCTTTCTTACTGCTTTTTAAAGCAGCTTTTTAGTACGAACTCCAAAGCTCCTTTAAGAAGCAGTAAGAAAGCCGTCCCAAATGAAATTTCTAAATAGGGGCAATAAGAATTCAATATGAACCAAGTTATTCAATCAGTCATATAATGGAATAGTTCTCTTTTCTATTGATAGTTCATTATTACAAGGGGGAATGTTTGTGTACACAATACATGTAGAGCTATTTATATTTTGCCAGTGAATCATAGTATACATAGTATATAATAAAAATATTTTATATACAGTAATAAATACATAAATAAAATACATATTGGTGTATATAAAGACTAATTAGAATTTAAGATTCATTTATATCATTATCATTATCATATTTCTATATGGCTACAATATTTTTATTATTTCTCAAAAAATTGTGAAGAGAAGTAATTTTTCATTATCAAATATGCAAGAATATAATATTTTTATGAAAGCTATTGCTCTATTTTTTTTAGCATGAAAAATTTATAACACTCTTGATGATTTTGAAAAAAATATGATTTTTCTTTTTTACAAACAATTATAATTGTCCCAAATGAACCATTAATTAGGAGAAAAATCTAATCAAAATTTCTTCCCAATGATTTTAAAATTTTAAATTTATTTTGAGATCATTTCAAAATAAATTTAAAATAGGGAGATTTACATACATACCAATTTGTATCGTGCTATTTACATATCTAACACCCCAAATTTTAATATTTCATGCATATCACTCATAGATCATATATGAGTGTAAGAAATGAAATATTAAAGTTTATATGATAATTTTAATAATAGGAATAAAATATATGAGTAATATATTTGAAGTTAAAATTGACTTTATATATTAATCATGAAATATTAAAATTTTGAATGTTAGATATGTAAATAATATCGTATAAAGTGGTATGTACGTAAATCCTCCTTTAAAATATTTAAAATTTATCATAATAAAATTTTAGTAAAAAATATCTTGTCATTTGAAGTAAACAATAATCATTGCATCAATAAATAGGCTAAAAAACAATTTAGAAATTGTCCACATCAAAGAAAATAACTAATTATTTCCAATTTTACTAATTAGACAACGCACCGAAGAAATCACACGCACAAAAACAACACTAATCACAAATGAAAATCCCGAAAATAACAACACATAGCCCCCTAATATTTCGAAAATTGCAGCGCTCACCCGCTTCCACCAAGCACCTTCTTCAGCTTCAGAATCTGCTCAGCATCGAGGAACGTAACCTTCTGTATTAACGGCGTCGAAATATTGTTAGCAAACAGCGCGAAGTCCGTTATCTGCAACCCCGGGCTGGGCGAGCTAAAGCTCACAATGGCGACGGCCGTTATCCCGCCGGCATTCACCTGAGTGGAAACAAAATATACACCTTATTTTTTTTTTGGGGAAATACACCTTATTTTTTTAAGACTAATTTATATTCATTTAGCTTTTGCAGCTTTTTTTTTATTAAAAAAAAATTACTTTAAAAAGGAATAAGAAACGAAATCTTAATTACAGCATTTTGCATGAGATTTTAGAAGAAATTTGGATATATTAGTGAAGAAAATTGAATATTGATTCAAATTTTAAATTAAATTCTTGGTTAATATTTAACTTTTTTGAATATTAATAAATAACTATTTAAGTTTTATTTTTTATTTAATAGCTCATTTATTAAATTATTTCACATTCTTGCTGTCTTGCATATCAAAAAATTTTCCATTAAAAATTATTCATATAAATTTGATAGTCATCTTAGTTAAATTTTCATTGACATTTGAGTTTTTTTTTTTTTTAAATATTTACAATCTAAGCATCTTAAATAATTAATTATAATTACAGAATCATATACAACAATATTTTTTATATAAAATGTACATAGTTGATGATGTGACTAAAATTATTTATTATTTAAAATAATTTTTGCTCATTTATTGGTTATAATTTGATAATAATTATTGTTAATCCTATTTTTCAAAAAGTATATATGATTATAAAAAAGATTATTTTAATCATAATTGGAAGAAATATAGGATGAAAACATAATTTTTAGTCATAATTAAACATTTTAGTAATTTTGCATAATTTATAATCATCATGATAGAAATTATATTAAAATTAAAAAGATTATTTTAATCATAATTTGAAGAAATATAGGATGAAAGTTTAATTTTTAGTCATAATTAAACAGTTCAGTAATTTTGCATAATTTATAATCATCATGATAGAAATTATATTAAAATTTACTAGTTTAAACAAAAAAAAAATATTAAGGAAGAAAAAAACCTGGTAGTGGAGGAGGCCCTGAGGAAAAACCATGGCGTCGCCCTTTCTGAGAGTGGCGGTATACGGAGTATTGGCGGAGGAGATGAAGCCTGCGGAGATGACTCCTTGGGTGACGACAAGGAGCTCGGAGGCGGCAGGGTGGGTGTGGAGGGGGACGACGCCGCCAGGGGCGAGGTCGAGGCGGGCGGCGGAGATTCCGAGGCCGTTGACTGCGGCGAATTGACCGGCGAAGGCGGGAGTGACGGCGGCTTTTATGATGTTATTGGTGTTGCCAGCGGCGCCAAGGCCGGAGAAGACGAATTCGGAGGCGGTGACGGCGGATTCCTTCTTGCAGGAGAAGCCTAAGGGGGAGGTGGGGCCGGAGAAGTCGGCGACGCAGAAGTCGGCGGCGGAGGAGGGGTAGGGGAGGAGGAGGAGGAGGAGAAGGGGTAGGGGAAACATGGTTTTTGTTTGAATAATGGTTTTATTTTATTTTATTTTTAATTTAAATTGTTGGTTCGGTGGTGTGAAGTGAGGGTAGGGTAGTGATAGAAGGTTTGGGGGTTTTAAAGAGGAGAAGTAGAATGCCGTATATATATTGCTGAATATTTTTTTTTTATTAAATTATCAAACAAAATTAATATGATTAAAATTTAAATATGATTTTTCTTTACCCCCAACTTTTTTCCTAATTTTTTATGGGAGTTTTGTTGTGTGAACGGGAAATTTTTGGGTCCGGTCATGGGACGTGTTCGGAGCCCAATGAAAATGCGCCACATCATCTCCTACTCGGTACTGAGCTTAGTACTGATCAGTATCAAACAGTACCGAGCTCAGACTGCTCAGTACTCAGTACTTTACAGTACCAAGCTCAGTACTGTGAATACCAAACGTAAGCTGCGTCCGATGACCTGATCCAATAATTTCCCATGATTCGGGGGTCTAGGGTTGTAAGTTATCTCTAATTTTATGTCATTTTTTTCTGAGTCTAGGTTATGGGAGGATATGGAGGGAATGATTGCTTTTGCGTGTGCAGTTTTTGAACTTATTTTGAATTTTTTTTTTTTTTGGAAATTGAATTTTTTTTATCAGGCTTATTTTATGCTTTCTTTTTGACTTATGCCTCATAAGAGCTTAATCTTTTTTTTTTTTTTTGTGGGGCTTTCAGTTTTACTTCTATGTAACCTTTGTTTTAGTCAGATGGATTAGTATTAATTAACCCTTATGTATTGATATTAGTCCAGATCCAAAATTAGTCAACTTAAGCTTTTTTTTTTTAATGAGCTAGATCTTCATATTTTTCAAGGGAGCTAGAGCTCGAGCTCAATATAAATTAAATATATTTGTTTGGATTAAAGAAGAAATTAACTTACTCCACTCGTTTATAAAAAATTATTAGGCCCGGACATCGGACCTAGAAATAGGTCCGGATATCCAATAAAAAGTTGCCATGTGGACTACGCTTTGACTGTTCTTTGATTGTGCTTTAACTGCACTTTTGACTGCGCTTTACATGCTTTTTTGATGCGCTTGACTTAAAATTCCGCGGACATGAGTACATTCAACGTGTCAACTTTTAGTAGATATCCGAACGTATTGGTATCGCTACGTCGGATGTTCGGACCTAATAATTTTCCCTTGTTTACACCTAATGGGGCCGGTTTGGATCGCAATGCATGATTATTACGTACCGAGCAATGTTCTTGCGCAATAATGGAGAGAAGCGGACGAATTTGGTGAGCTGAAAAATGGGAGTTGGGACCGTGGGGTAGTTCACGAGACTACGAGAGCCCTTCGAGTAATTTCATGCGCAGGATTTTATAGGGGAATTAAATCAACAAATTAATATAAAACTCATTTCCAAAATAAATAAATAACTAGAGTATATATAGTCATATTTTTTTAAATAATATGATTATTAATCATCTATATATATTTAACAGATAGGAGAAATTATTATTTATTTTGTATTTTTAATTTAAATTTTAGCAAATGTGTGTGTTCCAATAAACACGTGATCAGAAATATATATTTAAATGTATCAATATAGATATTATTTTAAATTCATCGTCCAAAAATAAGTTAAGACATTTGGTGGAATTATGTGTACAATATATGAAGCTAATTAATGATGAGAGTAAGATTTTATTTGTGATATATTTTTTTAAATAATATTTTAGTACACAATTTTTTTTTTTTCAAAAAATTTTGATATAAAAAATTTACTTTATAAAACAATATTAAAAATATCCCAAATGAAGCCTAAATTTTAAGCTAGCTTCAACATTTTTGGCCTTCAATTTCCTGAGCCAGTAACAGCAAAGTCTTTAGGCTATAGCAAATGATCAAGAACAAAAAATAACAATGAAAAATGTAGTTGGCTAGTTAATATCGTTATCGAGTCGAGCTCGAGCCGGCTCACGAGCCGACTCGGCTCACTTACACCCCTACATACCATACATCCTATGCACCTGAGTACTGTTCATATTTAATCTTTACTCTCTCTCACTCTTATAATTTTCTCTATAAAATTTCTGCTATTTTAATAACTTGATTAATAATCAATATCAAATTCGAACCTAAAGGGATCGATGCATGTTCTTTAGTATTTTATTTTTGGTGACATTTGAGTCAATTAACACAAACTCATATACATAAACGTTGAACCCGAAAATTTTGAATTAATAGACAAAACTCTCAACCAATAAATCAAAATGAATTATGTGTTCAGTAGTTGCAAAGTGAACCAACAACACTCTTTTCTTTGAAAATTTATTCTGTGAGGAAGCCGAATGCCGTCCGGAAAAAAATCAGAATGCACCACGTCACTCCTGCTTGGTACTGCGGCTCTATACTATTCAATACATGACTCGATACCGCTGATATGACTGCACCTAATTCGTCTCGTGACGTAGAATCTCCTTTTCTTGCCATCACCATTGGTGTATAAACTTTAAGCTATTAATGCCGGTCGCCCATATTAAAAATCTTCAACGGGAAAAGAATCCAGCTATTGGGCGAATTATTACGTTTGGTCACTGGATGTCCGGACATCCAATCCGGCGTCAAAATCCGGCGACGCCACGTCACTCAAATACACCGGATCCCTCACGGTGTAATTTAGTGACGTGACGACACCGAATTGATGTCCGGACGAATCTGGACACCGGACGCAATAATTTGCCCAACAATTGGGGCGAATTTGGACAAAGACATCGTTATCTGGTCCATTCCCATATGCAAAACAGCAAAAGCACAGCTAAGACCTTTTTAGATATTAGTTCATGAGTACTAAATTTCAAAATAAAATAAAAATAAAAATATAATAAAAAAGAATGTGAACCACATCCTTAAATAGATCAGTAAATAATAAAGATATTTCTTTTTATAGAAATATTTCAATTTGAAATATAATGCTCAAATTCAAATATATATACTCACCTAGTTTAAAAATGAATTCCATCAAGTTTAAATGGGTTTTTTTTTGCCCTGAGAAATATACTAATTGTTATGTGCTAAGAAAAGTATCATCTTAATTTTATTAAAAAATTTAGAATAGGTAAAAATATAAATTTTAAAAAAATATTAAAATATTTTAAATTAAAAATATGAAAAAAATCATAAGACCTGACCCAATTATAATAATCCACTATATAATTATAAATATAAGAATTCACTCTTTTTCATAATTATAGAAGACATGATCAAGAAATCTCACTTATGATTTGGACGGCACCACCGCCGTTTCCAGCAGGGCAAGAAGAAGACATCGGCTGACAAGTCTTCCTCAAATAACCAGTGCAAACATTACCGGGAGGTAAAAGTAAACGACCGCCAGTGCCTTTTGCCAGGCTTGAACAGTCACGTCGGAGGTGATCAGAACACATGGTGGAGAAGAGGATAGAGTTAGAAGGCTAAACCACTCGTTGGGGCCGAAGCCTTATCGGGAGCTCTCAAATGGGTTTCCCCTTCGCAGATTCCTCTTGAAAGGCTCACTTTCATCGCAGATAAGCCTTTCATATGCATACAGAATTAATTCATCTGTATATGACTCTTCAGGGATAGAGTCATGGAGAGAGGGAAGGTTATATCTGTAATATGCTGTGGGCTGCTATGCAATAAAAGCTTAGCTTATGTGGACAAATATTTGCATTGTGAGTATCCCCATTTCCTGTCAAAATATAAATTTATTCAATGCAAAATATTATTGCAACAGTCAAATGTATCTATGTAGATTAATTAATATTTTATTTGGAATAATTTTTTAAAATAATTTTCTAGCACCAAAATTTTTAGTATACGAAAATTTTATACTAAAAAACTAGTTAGAAAGGAGTAAAAAAATCATCTCAAATAAAACTTAACAGACTTAAATTCGATTTAAGAAATGACCTGGAGAGAAAAGCAGAGCACCAGGCAAAAAGAAAACAGAGAACAAAGGTTTTTGTAACCAGTGAAAGAGTGATAATATTCTATATGCCTGTTTACTGAGTGCATTTACTATCTGTAGTCTTCAGAGAGCTGAATTACTAAAAGCAGAACAATATGAAAATAGGATAATGACTGTACTACAGTCCCTTAGTTAGTTATAGTGGCAGGAAGTGTAGGTAATGGAGGCGAAAATGGATCATGTTAGGAGTAAGGCGTGCGGGGAATGGTTATAGTAACGTGATTTCACATCAGTTCCCTCCTGCTTTAGAGGAGTCGGCACTTGGCGAAGTTAGTTCAGTATCTGCTCCATCTGATGGAAAGTAAGGAAAGATGTCTTCAATGTTGAAGGTGGTGGACGTGAGGATATCTGGAGGTAAATCAATGACGTAAGCATTGTCGTTAATGTGTTGCTTGATTGCAAATGGACCAATCTTCCGTGGACTGAGTTTTGAGTAAGATCTAGAGGGAAATCATTCTCTCCTTAATCGAACCATTACAAATTCACGAGGTTTGAATATCTTCCGGTGGCGGTGTAAGTCAGCATTAAGCTTATATGATTCATTGGACTGCTCCAATTTATGCGGACATCGCCAAACATTAATTTAAAATTTTCAGCCAACTTACCTACAACAACATCGTGACATCTGGGAATGATGGCTAAGTTGACCACGTGATTCGATAGTTTGGTGTTAACTATGCTGAATGGACACATCCCTATTGACCTGCTGGGCATTGAATTGTAGGAAATTTCAGCTTGACTCAAGACTTCATGCCATTGTTTTGGGTGTTCTTGGACCAAACGCCGAAGCATATTACCAAGAGTTTTGTTGGCCACCTCAGTTTGTCCATCGGTTTGGCGGTGATATGCTTAGCTGAGCTTGATTTTGGTTGAGTTATTTCCAAAGTTCGTGTCAAAAGTGGCTGATGAACATCACATCTCGGTTGGACGTTGTGGGCAATGAAAATTTGCGCCCCGGACGCCCTGCCGCGTTCGCTATTTTGCTTTTGCTCGAGGGAAGTTTTAACAAATTAAGTTTTGAGGTAAATTTTGGGAAGACATATTGGGATTGAAGATAAAACACACCTAGAAATTTCGCCTATACTATACACTATACTACTACTACTACTCTATACTATATACCTACATTATATTATATATGTAATATACTATACCACTACTATTCTATATTATATAACTACACCGTACTATATATACTATACTATACTAATATTATGTACTATAAATATAACTCTAAACAATACTATATATACTACACTATATTACTACTACTCTATATTATATTACTACACTATTTCATATATACTACACTACACTATTACTATTATATATTATATAAACTACATTATAATACTACTCTATACTATATAACTACTTTATACTATATATCTACTATATTATATGTCTATATACTACACTATACTATTACTACTCTATACTATATATGACACTGGATCAGAGGGGGCTCGACGAATCCACGTCGATGATTCGGTAGCCGTGGCCGGATAACTCCAAGAACTCCTTCGGAGAGGAATCACCACCTAAAATCCTTAAGGATACAGAAACACAAAAAGAGTAAAATTACTCAAATATTATTCATCTTTCAAATATAATCTCTATTACAAGTAAAGGGTACCTATTTATAGACAAATGTAGCCCATAATTGGCTACACTCAAAACAAGAGAGCACTAATCGTATGTAGCCATATAAGTTACCAAATGAAATAAAACTAGCCTGAAGTTATCATGGATAAGCGGCTCAGCTCCAACGTCATACTACCAAGGTAGGAGGAACTCAGGCTTATAGGAAGATGTCCAGTTGGTCGCCATAAGGAGGTGGGTTTGGTTGGCTAAATCGATCTGGATATTCCCATGTCTATGCACTAAGAACATCTTCAGGATCTTTGACAGAGAATTCATAAGATGAGCTACCATGGCTAACTTCCCACATGAGAATAGCATGCAAGGGCACGGGTGAAGTCGTTGTTTTGATTACCTGGTCACTAGTCATGTAATTATCAATCTTCTGAGTTGCCTTTACTAGAATGTTGTTGATCTCCCCCGTTTGTAAGCATATCCCCAATATGCTATTTGCAGAACTGCTACCTGCCGGAGCCGCATCTGAGTATGAAATGCTGATCTTAGAGCGGTCCACTGGAAGATCATGAAATTACAAGTCTAGGAACTCCATGTTTGACTTTGGGAGTGAATGAACAATAGATGGTGATTTTGATTGTAAGTTTAAGAGCATCAGTGGTTCTTTCTTCAGTTGAGGAAACTTAATAGATTCATTTGATGTCCTCCATGGTGTGGAGTTGACGAGTTCAAATGATAGAAAAGAACCATCTTTGATGTTATGCTGGCCTTCCCTCTTACTATCGTCATTAACATCATATGCAAGTTGCTCAAGATCAAGAACTCCACCAATCATGTCGTCATCATACACGTCATACACGGGCTCATCATAGAGAGGCACAGACGACGATTTCAGCAATGAATCTTCAAATCCTTTAAAGTTGAACTTGATCGAGGGTGCGGTGGAAGACTGACGAGGTGGCCCTTCAAACGCATCTTTGTGGGTAGAAGAGATTTGATTATCTGAAATGCCCTCGTCGTCGTCCGTTCGTACGCATTCAGTGCCTTTCCTCCATTTAAGCCTTGATAGTCGCTGCTGGAGTTGAACAATTTCTTGTTGAAGATTTTCAATTTCTGCTTGCTACAACATTCGTCGAGGAGGCATCTTGCTCTATTTTTCTTGACAATGTGCTTGCTGTAAACTTGCTAAGAATTTAAAAGTACCACCAATTGAAACTTGTTGTGGTCCGGCTATGGTCCTCTTACGGGTGGCATCGTTTTTGACTTGCAAAAATTCTGTTGTCTGCAGAACATAATTTAGCAGATAGGCTAAGGAAAAAAGACAGCAGGAATTTCTATGGCTAGTTAAGGTGTAGATCACAAACAGCTTAGCAAATACATTTGGTTGGCCGGAGAGACAAGAATGTTGATGCATTCACTGTCCCAAAAAATCCCTTAGCCTCAGGAATTGTTTTCTTGGAACCCGCCTAGGATTGAATGCTTGCTGTTTTGAGTTGGTCTTCAAGAATTGTCTTCGGCGAGCAAAGTAAAGGAGAGGACGTGGATTTCTTGGTTTGACGCGAAGCTTTTTGAAAACAGGGTGTATGCTAATGGCTATGAAGGATGAATCGGCAAAAGCTAGCTGTAGTTCTACGGTTCTTTAATTTGCTTGGTCAAATTTTAGTCGGCTTTAGAGAAATGACATCAGTAGCGATCGAGAGAAAGCAAGTTCTGTCGTAGACGGAGGCGGAACAAAGAGATCCGATCACCGTCGGCGAAGACTAGGGGCGACGAAGGAGGTCTTAGGCATCACAAATGACACCGGCGACTCGGCAACGGACAAGGAAACTAGGAAGCTCCACGCCTCCAACTGCCGCACACTCTGCCTCACGCGAGTCCGGTGCTCGTCTGTGTCCGTGGCATTTGCAGCGACCAAACGAACCTTTTCTTGAATCAAGAAGCATCAGGCCCGATCTCGCCTCTGGCCTACTCGGCCTTTCTTCCGTGGCATTTGCAGCGACCAAACGAACCTTTTCTTCAATCAAGAAGCACCAGGCCCGATCTCGCCTCTGGCCTACTCGACCTTTCTTCCATGCGAACGCCTGCTGCTTTGCCTCCGACAACCTCTATCAGATGCTTTCTTGGCTTCTTGTCACGAACCAGCATCCCTTCCGACACTTGGTGCAGTTCCGACTCCGCCTGATAAATGAAACAACCCTTTGAAAGAGCCTGCTTGCAACTTCTAAGGAGACTAAATCACTTGGCACATCTACGTACTAAAAAGAAATAAAACACTTCCTCCTTCGTCGATCGCCAGCATCATGGCTCTTGGCTCTGATACCAAAAGATACCGGATCAGAGGAGGCTCGACGAATCCACGTCGATGATCCGGTGGCCGATGCCGGATAACTCCAAGAACTCCTTGGGAGATGGATCACCACCTGAAATCCTTCAGGATACAAAAAACCAAAAAGAGTAAAATTACTCAAATATTATTTATCTTGCAAATCTAATCTCTATTACAAGTAAAGGCTACCTATTTATAAACAAATGTAGCTCATAATTGGCTACACTCAAAACAAGAGAGCACCAATCCTATGTAACCATATAAGCTACCAAATGAAATAAAATTAGCATGAATTTATCATGGATAAGCGACTCAGCTCCGGCGTCAATATAACTACACAATACTATAATACAACTCTATACTACTACTATTATATATTATGTATACTACATTATACCACTACTACTCTATACTATATATACTAATACTATTCTATACTACTTCTCTATATTATATAACTACACTATACAATATATATTGCACTATACTACTATTACTCTATAAAATATATATTATATTATATAACTACACTATATTATATATATACTACACTATACTACTACTACATACAATATATACTATACTATAATACTACACTATACTACTACTACTCTATATTATACTACTATTATATACTATACTACTAATACTCTACTATATAACTACTCTATACTATATATACTACACTATACTACTACTATTATATATTATACAACTATAAAGAAGAATTGTTTCATGCTACCAATTACTCTTTTGGGTGTTACTTGCTTTAGCATCTTACACTATGTAAGAAAAAATAAATTGAAACGCCTCATATTATGTTAAAGTAACCACATATGTGACACCGGTATAGATTAAATTGGTGTCAAACGATTACAAAGATAAGAGGAAGATCAATTCAAATACACAAACGAACATACTACAGAATAGGAAATAAAAGAAAACTTAGTTTTATTGCGGCAGATTCACCCCCTGGTTTGCCAAGCCAGGTTACAACCCTCCATCCCAGGGAAAATGCAGAATTTCTGCTTACAAACTCTCTACCCTCCCCTTAAGACATGGACTCTATTTATAGACATTATTAAGACAACACACACTAGACCCAAAAGCAGGAAAACCTGAACCAAACCAAACCAGTAGCAGGGAACAGAACCGAAAGCCTGTTAGTGGCCGGCCTAGGTTCGTTTGAGTGCATGATTTATTTCCTGTTTAGACAGCAGCAGCTCCTGCGTCATTCCCCCGGTCTTGAGAAGATGGAACTTCATTTTGAAGGGGAGGAGTAGTTCCCACGGGTTCTTCTTATATGTTGCTGGCTTGTTGTAATTGATACACATCTATCTCTTGATTGGAGAGCTCCATTAGGTCGTAATGATGTGATAAATCTGAAACATTAAAAACAGGAGAAATTTGTAAATTGTCAGGTAACTCAATTTGAAAAGCATTATCATTAATTTGTTTAAGGATACGAAAATGTCCCTTTGCTTTAGGTTGAAGCTTATTGTATCTTATGTTGGGAAACCTCTCCTTGCTTAGTCTGATCCAAACGAGATCTCCTTCCTTGAAATGTTCGCTCCGCTTTGATTTATTTGCTTGCTTTTGATATATAGTATTCTGTTTTTGAATATGCTGTTGAATTTGTTTGTGAAGTTATTGGATTTCCTTGACGCGCGAAGTCAGCATCTAAACTGTGAGCTATAGAAGAAAGAAGCGTTGTTAGTTTAATGGGTCCTGTGGGGTTTTGTCCATATACAAAATCAAATGGACTCCACCGAGTTGTTTGGTTTCGAGACTTATTGAAAGCGAATTCCACTTGTCCCAAAATCTCATCCCATGATCGAATGCTTTTCCCAACAAAACACTATAGGAGGTTTCCAAGGCTTCTATTAATTGCTTCAGTTTGGCCATCTGTTTGCGGGTGAGCTGTGGAACTGAATTGTAGCTTAGTGTCTAGTTTAGACCACAGAGTTCTCCAAAAGTGACTAAGGAATTTAACATCTTTATCAGAAGTGATTGTTTTTGGTATGCCATGTAATCGTACCACTTCATGGAAGTAAAGTCTAGAGATATGGGAGGCATCTGATGTTTTGTGACATGGTATAAAATGTGCTTTTTTTGAAAAGCGGTCGACCACTACCATGATGGAGTCTTTTTTCCGTTGAGTAACAGAAAGTCCCAAAACGAAATCCATGCTAACTTCTATCCAAGGTGACTCCGGTACATGTAAAGGTAGGTATAGTCCGGTATTGTGTTGTGTAGTCTTAGCCATTTTACAAATGTGGCATCTCTTAACATGTCGGGTTACATCCTTTTCAAGTGAGGGCCAATAGAAATTTTCTTGAATCATGGCAAGAGTTTTGTCTCTCTCAAAATGCCCTGCCAGACCGCCATTATGGTTTTAAAAAATTATGGCTTCACGCAAAGATCCTTGTGGTATAAATAGTCTATACCCTTAAACAGATACTCTTGTTGTATGTAAAAAAATTTGTATGGTTTAAGTAGGCAATGTTGCCAAATTTTTGAAAAATCAGGATCCTTTGCGTATAAGTCTTTAACAACTTCAAAACCAACCAACGGTCTTTATTTGTATGGTGTTGAGTAACATAAATCGTCGGCTCAGGGCATCTGCCACTTGATTAGTGGCTCCCGATTTATATTTTAAAGAATAATGAAAAGAAGATAAATACTCAACCCATTTGGCATGTCTGGCGTTAAGCTTGCTTTGGTACTGAAGGTGCTTATGGGACTGATGGTTTGTAAAAAGAATAAACTCTTGTCCAATTAAGTAATGGATCCAATATTGTAGTGCTCTAATGATGGCGTAGAATTATTTGTCATATGTAGAGCAATGTTTAAAATTGCGTATTCGGGTATTGAGGCGTTTTTTCATTCATGAGGCGAGGCGTAAGCCTCAAGGAGTTTTGAGGCATAAGCCTCACAATCAAAATATTGCGTAAACATAAAATGATAAATTTGTTATATACTAATGAGTGAATAATATAAAACATAAAAAAGTATAAGATATGAAGTGAAGTGAAATCAAAATATCTCAATAATAAGACAACATGAAATATAGTTCAACTCAAAATTCTATCTTTCCGAAATCCCAGTATTCTTTTCATTAACATATATTTCTGATTTCAAAAAATAAATAGCAATGACATATCACATATTAGCACCGTCATCACTAAGGGGTTCTTCATATGAATCATTATTATGGTGAACTTCTCTCTCCCCTTCCTCCTCTCTTATAGAGTCCAATGTCTGGTATTTACTTCAAGATTTATGTAAGTTTTAATATATATAGAGTGAGGCGTAAACCTCATGCCAGTGAGGCGAGGCGGACTTCAATGCGGGCCTCAACCAAGTTGAGGCGCAAGCCTCATAAAAAAAACTCGAGGCATAAGCATCGAGGCGTTTTTTACTTGAATTGCGCCAAGGCGGGCCTCATATTGCGCAATTTTAAACCATGATGTAGAGTACTTTTGGCGAGATTCATTTAGTTTTTCGCTAAAATAGGCCACAGAGTGGCGTCCTTGGCTTAACACAGCTCCAATTCCATTGTGTGATGCATCACATTTAACTTCAAAGGCTTGCGAAAAATTTGGAAGTCTGAGGACGGGTGTTGTTTGCATAAGATCTTTGAGTTGCTTGAAACTATCTTGTGCTTCTTTGGTCAATTCAAATTGTGGTCTTTTGAGGATTTCGGTAAGAGGAGCGGCAACCGAGCTGAAGTTTTGAATGAATCGTCGGTAAAAGGATGCCAAACCGTAGAACCGTTGAACATCATTTATGGAAGTTGGCGTTGGCCATTTGTGAATGGTCTTAACCTTTTCAAAATCCATTTCAAGTCCTGAGGGAGAGATGACAAAGCCTAAAAACTTGATAGTGTCCACTAGGAATTCACATTTGACTGTGTTAGCGAATAGACGTTGTTCCAACAGTACTTGAAAAACTTGTTTTAAATGTTGTAAATGTTCCTCCTCATTGTGGCTGTAAATCAAAATGTCATCAAAATAAATAACAAGAAATTTATTTAAAAAGAAACGAAAAACCTGATTCATAAGACGCATGAAGGTACTCGACGCATTGGATAATCCGAAGGGCATGACGGTCCACTCATATAAACCATCCCTTGTCTTAAAGGTTGTTTTCCACTCATCGTCGGGCCTCATTCTGATTTGGTGGTACCCGCTCCTGAGATCTATTTTGGAAAAAAAATACAGGCACCGCTTAATTGATCAAATAAATCATCTACGCGTGGAATTGGAAACCTGTACTTTATGGTGATCTTGTTAACAGTTCCGCTGTCAATACACATTTGCTAGGTGCCATCTTTCTTGGGTGCTAGGAAAGCTGGGACGACGCAGGGGCTGGCATTGGGTCTGACAAACCCAGTAGAAATCAGTTCTTCTACTTGTTTTTGTAGCTCCTCGTAGCTTTTAAGGGACATTCTATAAGTGGGCCTATTTGGAATGACAGATCCTAGTATGAAATCGATGATATGTTGAACTTCTCGCATGGGTGGTACACCTTTTGGAAGTTCCTCCGGAAAGACTTTATGAAATTCTTGAAGAAGAGGCTGGATTTCCAGGGGATGTTGTTTTTGTACTTTATTCTCAACCATGAGTAACATAACCAACCCATGCTGCTCGGCTTTGAGGGCTTGAGTAAAGAGGGTGGCTGATTTGGTCTTGGGAGCCAAGTGTGGTGGTTCGGCCTGTTTAGTAGGTGGCTTCTTGTCTTGGTTGTCATTATAAGGTGTGAGTACCAACGTTCGGCTACCGTTTTGAAAAGAATAGGTGTTGTGAAACCCATCATGGATTGTTTTTCGGTCGAATTGCCACGGTCGTCCCAACAGTAGGTGGCATGCATCCATAGGTACCACGTCACATAGAACTCGTTCTTGAAGATCCTTACCCATAGAAAAATTGAACCAAGCATTGGCGGTTGACCTCAATTTCGTTGCCTTTCTTTAACCATGCTAGCTTATAAGGTTGAGGATGTGGTTGTGTAGTCAATTGTAATTTTTCTATCATTAAAGAGGAGACCACATTTTCACAGCTACCACTATCGATGATAAGAGAACAAACTTTGCCTTGGATGGTGCATCTAGTCCTGAAGATGTTATGCCTCAACCATTTATGTTCAGGTTCGTATTGAGTGTTTAGCAGTCGTCTGATGACTAGAAGCTCTCAGTCATCAGCCGGTATAACTTGCTATGCCTCTTGTGAGTGGTTTGTATCTCCTTCACCGGAATCTTCATCAAACGGCATTTCTTCCATCAAGGTGACCAACCGCCTCGTAGGGCAATTAGCCGCGATGTAACCAAATCCATGGCACTTGAAACATTTTCTTGTCGGAAAAGAGTTGGTGGGCGG